TAGTTCGAGCCCCGTGTAGCCGCGCTGCACGGGGTTCGAACCAGCGGGGTTTTAAAAATGGCGGCTCCCCGCTTATGCAAATGAAGCCCGGGAAATTCAAATCCCGGGCTTCATTTGCAAGTGCGGTATGCCTACATTACCCCGCTAGTTCGAACTAGGAGGGTAGTGTAGACATACCCCAACACACCCTCCCAGGCTTGTGCGTAGGCAGCAGAGCTAAATGCAGACAGCATACAGGGGTTCCTTCTGAGCACTTACGCAGGCATATGGTCACAGTTTCACTTTCCCTATCTGAGCTCTCTAACTATCCAGCAGCTTCCCCAAAAGTAGCTGTACTCAGACAAGCTGGTTTCTCTCTTGCACAAGGAAGAAGCCCAGCCTGCAATGGCAGCTTCCCCCTGTGGGGAGGAGCCACAGCCTGTGAGGAGGAGCACCATGGCCCCTCTTGATAGCGTGGGAACAGATATGTTCCCCTGCACTGTACAGCTGAGGCTTACGGGGTCCTGGTGTCATTGGCCAAATGCACTGATAAGCATCAGGCATCTTCACTCAGATCTGCTGCCCCTTGATGTGTTTATGTTCTGTTTTCCAGGCTTGAACTCTTAACTCCATACAGATACGGTTAAAAATAACACCTGCCTGACTCTGTTACGATTGTGACAGAGAAGCCAGTGTGTATAAATAAACCGCAACACACACCTCCCTTTTCTGCTCTCTTTCCTTCCATCTCAGTGCTGCTGAAGGATCCACAGGTGGCCAGACATACATAGGAAAATGTAGGGCTGAATTGCCCAGGAATAACTTGGGGGGAAGAGGCAGGGAGCAGGCAAGCAGGCAGGCAGGGTGGAAAAGGGAGGAAATCAATAAGATTCCCTCCAGCAGTTCTATACATTCCTCTTGACACACATAACGCCACCACCCCCGCCTCCCAACAGCCTGCAGCTGGCTAGTGAGGGCAGACAGACAACACGGCTAGCTTGGAGCAAGACACAGTGAAACAGAGACACTTACACAGGCTGGGGGGTGATGAACAGGCTGCCATCGTATCTCCGTCTGACCCCCCGAGATGACCCCGGAGCTTGGCCTCCAGCCTGGGCTGCCAACCTGGAGTAGTGATGGCAGGAATGAAACAAAGAGAAATACTTTGAGTAGGAGAAGCAGGTCATATCCGGGCCCCTGGGTAAAGGCAGGAGCCGAAAGAGACAGAGAGAGAGAAGGAGCCTGCTGCTTGGGCTTTGAATGAAAGCAGATGGCCACGGCTTGCTCTGTGCAGAACTCAGCTGCTCTCTCAGCTCTGGATTATTTTTGGCCCACTGAGGAAGTGTCAGGGGATTTGAATGACCATATAAGACAACAGTGAGGTTAATCCCCCCCTCCCCCCCCACACACTGCACTGGAGGAAGATGCAGAGCTAGATGACATTCTTCACCTCAAGGAGAGTCTGAGAGCACAGTCAGATGAGGAAGCCTGGTGAGGGGTGGAAACAGGGTCACGAGCACTGTGCATTCAGGAACAGGCTTCATGCTGAACTTTATCCAAGGACTGCAGAGGGTCCTGGGCTGGCTGAAAACCTGGGGCCACAAATCTTCCATACCAGCCATCATAGGTGTGCCCTTGCAGAGCAGGGGAGCCCTAAGCTGCTGTGCTCAGGTGGAGACGGGAGGGCACCAAACAATATGCAAGGCAGCAGATGGCTCTCCTGTTCTAAAATCAGCAGGTGGCAAGGGATCCTTAGAGTACAGGGCCAGATCTGACAGATCTGCCCGTAACCAGTCCCATATCAGATCTCCATCTCATACCATATGATAAACAACATGCCTGGTGGAGATACTTCTGTATGGTACCTATTTGGTGAAGTACCTCCACCACATCTTGCAATACTACCGTCATCAGGATAAAATCCTGGCTCTAATGAAATCAATGGACATTTTGCCATTGACTTTAACAGTGACAAGATTTCACTCTGTATCTATAAAAGACTCATTCCACTCATCACATTGTTTGAGGGTCTGCAATAAATGTGTTAGCATAAGATTACAATTAGAGCTGTCAAAAATGCACACAATATTTATCTATAAATTGTTGTTCTTTTGCAGGGTTTGAAATGCACCTTTTTATCATCATTTTTGTGGAATTATTTAATGAGCTTTTTTCCTCTTTTTTTTGAGAATGTTTCATTTTTAAAAATGAAAGCCAAGTATGTTTGCATTCTGAAATGGCAGGTTCCTGTAACTCACTGTGGGCTGCTTAAGCAGTGGCACTGAGCGTGACACTGTGTGGTACGTCTGGAGTTATTCTGGTGTACATGAGCTCACTCACAATGTGCACCTAAGTAAACAAAACTGATACTTTTTGACACCTCAGTATTGATTATATTCAAATATTTTATATACATAGTGACCTTAGCCCTATGATTTCTTTTGTCTATGGGTGGAGAATCAGAACCATTCTACATTTTTTCATAAAAATCCCGCAAGCTTCCCTTGAATAGAACTAACTTGGGACAGCGCACGATTCTCTGTGAAGCAATGCCACTGTCACCTGACTGAGAACTCATTAGGTAAGAAAAGGTTGCAGGACTGGTCTAGTTTACTGCACAGACATTAGTGGACATTCTGGCTCAAGTTCTAATGTAATGGACCATGATGTAATGCCGGAATAACGCCACTGACGCTAGTGGAATTACCCCAGTGCTACTGCAATGGAAACGAGATCAGAATTTTAAACAAATTACAAGCTTAACTATTCAAGGAGTTTCAGTGCTGTTCTGTAAAGATGGGAAGAAAACAATTTTTCAGTGTGGGCTTTATGAAGGTCCAAGCTCACTCACACACTCACCTGTGCCAAGGACTAAGCTGGTATGGCGGATTATGAGAGCAAGGGCGATTCATCGTGGGTGGCTCTCCAGGGGTTGTCATGACAGATTTCTGATGACTCTGGGCAGCTGACTGACCTGAGGGATCCTCTGTCAGACTCTGTTCTATGGCCAGTTGAATAAGCTCATCTTCAGTCATGCTGCTGTACAGACTGTACTCCTCCTGTCCTATTGTTTGTCTTTGGGCATTGGCTGGGGCAGTAATTTTTGTAGCCATCCTCTGCTTGCCTAGCACCAGGAATAAGAAGAAACTGCAAAAATTAAAATCTTGAAAATGTGCATGAGGAGAAAATACATTTTAACAAATCCTCTAGAATCAACATTTAAACGTAATGGGCCGGAGTTCTTTTTTTTCTGTTTTTGCCCTTTTATAATAATTGAACCTCCTGCTAAATGAGAGAAGTGACTAGTGAGTAAGAGAGGCTCTTCTCCACTTCCTTCAGGTTAGGGCACTTCTGGGTAATAAGAGATAGTGGAAATCCGCCAGGGGATTAAAAGGATACTGTCAGGTTAAAAATGAATCAGAGAAAACATTCACACGTCCCCATCTGTCTTACTCATACTACCCTTTGATTATTGAAAATGAAAGTTGATGGGCCAGATCACCACCCGATGGTATAAAGCAAGATAACTGTTGATTTCAAATTAGTTAGTCCCATTTGCACTAGTTGAGGATCTGGCCTGACATGCCCTCTTCGCTCTTTACACTCTTAATGAGGTCAGCGGGAACAGCAAAAAGTGTCTCGTTAGTTTCATGCTTAAAAGAAGGTTACAGGAAGTGGGAGAAACCCAAGGAGCTGGCTGCTCAGAGGAAGTAATGCACAAGGCTGAAAAAGCAAACAGACCGTTAATGCTGCTACTCCAGTGCAAATAACTTTTCTAGCAATGGGGTTTCTAATTGGGAAACAAGAGCCAGCTGCAATTGTGCCAAAAGGGTGCTCTGGGTTGCTGAAAAGCTGATGAGTCCCTATTTCTTGTACTGAAGGTAACCAGTACAGATCTCCATCAGCTCTTCAGGATCCACAAGAGCCTCTCATGAGGGCTATTATGTGTCAGCCATTCAGCCCAATGGTTGAATCCTTTTTTATGTGCTCTCTTTGCTGTCCTATTGAAACTGACATTTGCCAAGTATTGATCATGCTGCCATAAGCAAAATAATGGGGCCCTCAAGACTGCTGTGAGGAGAGACATTTGTAAACATAAGAACCACCATATTGGGTCAGACCAAAGGTCCATCTAGTCCAGTATCCTGTCTTCTGGCTGTGGCCAACACTAGGTGCCCCCAGAGGGAGTGAACAGGTAATCATCAATGATCCCCTCCCCTTTTAACCCATTCCCACCCCTGACAAACAGAGGCTAGGGACACCATTCCTACCCATCCTGGCTAATAGACATTGATGGACCTACCATCCATGAATTTATCTAGTTCTTTTTTTAACCCTATTAAAATCCTGGTCTTCAGAACATCCTCTGGTAAGGAGTTCCACAGGTTGGCAGTGTGCTGAATGAAGTACTTCCTTTTGTTTGTTTTAAACCTGCTACCTAATAATTTCATTTAGTGTCCCCTAGTTCTTCAACTAAAGCTGTATGCAAGATCTCATAGAAGAGTATAGCCTGGGTTCTTGGGAGAGATGTCAGGTGCTGACAGTCCTGTAGCATTTCTACTGTGCTATGCACACAGGACAATGCCTACCCCTCTTGTCCCAGAGTCTCTGTTTCACACACAAACACTGCAGAGAGCCACATAACCTTTTGTTCCTCTAGACCACCTTTCATCCCCAATCAGTGACGTATCACTATGATCCCAGGAGCCTAAAATGTTTCATGTTCCAGCTATAGAATGCTACCAGTGCGCTAAACAACCTTCACAGTCTTTGTCTGTAGGGCAGAGGAGCTAGCCCCAATGCTTGTCTTTATAGTGGCCAAGGGATGCACCCAAGGCTAGAAAGACAGTCTCCAGATTTCCTTTGAGAGGTGGGATATTTTCTTCTGATTTCTGCTAAAGAAAAAAAAACCCAGTGAAACTGTCTTTGAAGCTCTTAAGGAAAATTTCAGAGCCTCAGTAAATCCTACCAAAGCAAGGAAATGTGGATTTAAGGATTCACTTATGCTGCTGTGCAAAGTTCCACTTGGTATATAACACAGACGTGCTGCCTGCACTGATCTCAGACTCCAAACAACACAGGAGCAAAAGAGGGAGAGGGCAGACATGAGAGTAGTAACCCTTGATGGTGTGATGCTGGGAGTGGTAATCTGACTCTTGAGGCTGTAGTCTGCAGCAGTTGCCTAAGTAAAAGTTTGGTACTTTATTGTTGTCTTCAGGAATAGCTGGCAGTGACTTAGGCCGGTGCTCTGGCCCCTGTGCAGCTAAGAGATCTGGGTCAAGTCGCTAAACAGCTGGTAGCTCCAGGAATGGACCCTTTCTCAGCCGCTCTGTTACCTATCCATGCTTTGATATTAGTGCCACAGACAAGACAAGCACCATGACACAGAGATTTTCCCAATGGATTTCTTAGCCACTGGGTTGGTAGAACTCCTGGCATGTTGCTCAGCTGATTTACACCCCGTCATCCACTGTGCTTGCCTGGTAGCTGATGGCTGTGTGCTGTGGATGTATGGAAATCACATGGCCTGCCTGCACATGGCAAAGTAACTGATGGAGTTTTGGATGATAGAAAGCCTCATACAACCCAGATATAAAGTAATTTTTTAGTGTCTAACTATTCCTTTTTCTTTTGTTACATCACCTGTAGAGTGTGTAACAGGGAACCCACGAGATCATGAATTTTGAGATTATTCTTATTTTGTCTCTTGCATCTTCTTTGTGGGTTAAACAATTCCACCCACTTACAATAAACCCAAATCCATATTGGTACTCTCCACTTAGCTAAATATTATGACAAGAGTCCCATCGAGTGCAGAAACAACAGTGTTGGCAGTGACTCCACCGCTGACTCATCCTGCAGAAAGAAATGGTATGCAGCCCAAAATAGAGAGGGTTTTTTAAATAATAAATCATGTTTCTCTTATCTAATTTTCAGGACCAAGGATGAGAGAGCCAAAGCCAAATTCCTGGCTTCTAAGGATTTTCAGAGAGGCCCAAAGTAACAGAAAGCAGTGGACATTCTGGTTCCTGATCAGCAAGAGCCCAGATTTAATTCTCACTCATTCCCTGTTATTTTCATGGACATCTGGAGCTCTGACAGCAAGGCCACATTTTCATCAGACAACTGTACTCTAATGCAGAGGTGTCATCAGAAGGAGGAACATTCAGCCTGTCACTAGACACAAGATACAGTGTCCTTGCTAAACAAATAAATAACAATGACCAATCCCTAAGTCATTATGGCCCAGATGTAAGTCATTTGACTTGATGTTGGGCCCTTCAGAGTGAGGTACGTGGGAGGAATCCTTTTTTCCATTCAACTCCAGCATATGGGTTGCAATAGGCTCCCTACCATTTTAAGAACACCTCTTTTGTCAGAATCTTCATGGCATTGGCTCTTCCAACCCCTGCCTGTCCCAGATGCTGCCTGTCACCATCCTATCCTCAGAAATTAGCTCTGGCACAAAGGAGTATGCACAATCTCCTGTGTAGACATGCTCATCACCCCATGTAGTGTCTTTTCATGCAGTTCAGCAGTGTCAGGAGCCCTCTGTTCCCACAACATAGGGCAGGATTTGGGCCCAGAAGGCTCTGCATAACTCTTCCTTCCTCTCTGGTTCCCATTATTCCAGTTGGCCCATCCCTTCCATCTGCTGCCCCTTCTCCATCCTTCTCAAGTTCCTGTTTGTGGCCAAGGGTTTCAGGCACAGTGACTCAAGTGAGGCCATTATTGTCCTTGTGTAGGCACCTGGAATTGCAATTCTTCCTCACTTTGAGGCACCTCCATTTTTTAAAAACTTGGTGCCATGTGTCTGCTTCCATATCGTGCCTTAAGCTTAGAACTGTCTCCCTGTTCTATGGATCAGCAATGCCCCACCTTCATCCAAATCCTGCCTAGATACACAATTCTCCTTAGAACTAGTTATTAAAGAATCTACAATAAATCTACTAGAATCTATTAGTTTATAAAGAATATAGTCAAGAGATGTACCCCATTTTGAGACTGCTTAACAGGTGTATCTGAACTAAGTCTGTTGAGACAAGAAGCATTTACGAACCAGAGCACCCAGCCAACCTGCATTCTACTGTCAGACAAGAGCTGATAAATTATTGTTCCCTCTCGCAATGGTTTTCTGCTGTGTAGCTGAGCTGCCTTAATTTAGTGGTGAGCTATCAATAATGACTTTATGAATGTTCACTGGATTAATATGCTATAAACAGAATATTCTCTACCAACTGCAAGAGAAATTAGTGTCATCAAAACTCTTTGGGTATGTCTACACTATGGCGTTATTTCGAAATAGTTATTTCGAAATAACACGTCTACACACAAAATGCATTTCGAAATAGAGTTTGCTATTTCAAAATAGTGCGTCCACACTGAGTGGATGCTGAATCTCATTAAAGGCTGGCCGGAACCAGGTCCGGCAGGGCATCAAGACAGGAGTTACTTTGTATGGCTGCTGCCTGAGGCTATCTGAGGCCTGTGCTTAAAGGGACCCCTCCGGACAGCCAGTTCACAGTTTTCCCTGCTTGTTTGCCTACCTTGATGAAGGACAGCAAAGCATTTTGTCTCTACGTGCTCTGGTTGCCCTCACTCGGGACACCACATCACTCTTCAACATGGAGCCAGAGCTGCCCCTGGGCACTCTGGTGCTTCTCTTGGATGCGTTGCTGTGAGCCTGGCTGCACTTTCTGCAGGAGGTCCTTCGGGGGGCTGTGAGTATCCAGGAGGCCCTACGGGAGAGCTTCCACCCTGAGGAGCACTCAGAGCCTCCCTTGTCTTCCCCACTGGGGGCTTGTGCCTCATTCCTCCATCATGCCCTTCCACTTACCCCTCCCTAACCCCCCTTCCTGATGTCAAATAAAATACATGTATTTTCATGAACACAAACTCTCTTTATTTAACAAAACTGGAGGGGGGGG